AAAACTGGCACTCATAGTATGCTCTGCAAATGCTATGGCAGTACTTAGCGATGGCTCTCAAGCACGCAAGACTGGACGGGAGAAGGAGCTTGTTCTTATGCGTCTTGTACGTGATGGTGTTCCAGTCTACTACTGCGTGGGTCTTCAAGACATAGACGATTTTGAGACGCCAATGCAGAAGTACTTAAAGATTGCATTGATGACTGCTTTTTGAAAAAGCTCCAGATTACAAAGGAACAGTACACCAAGATCTTGATTTCCTGTACATCTGACGGAGCATCAGTCAATACTGGGATATACAACGGCCTTTTGACAAGAATGAGAAATGATGACAGACCATGGTTGGTGTCCATACACTGTGTTTCACATCGCCTAGAGCTGGCAGTTAAGGACTCACTGCTGAAACATAAAGAGTTTGTTGAAGTGAAAGACTTTATGCAGACACTTTTCTATTTGTTTAAGCAATCAGGAAAATTGAAGCGCCATTTCATCAAAATGGCAGATATTCTAGATGTGCAAGTATATAATTTGCCAAAGGTCCATGGCACTCGGTTTGTCAACCATGTTCGCCGTGGTTTGGATCATCTTCTTCGAAACTGGGCTGTGCTTGTGAGTGTGATGGAAAATTCCTTGGAGACCAATAACATGAAAAACATCCATCCCAAGATACAAGGAATTTTGAAAAAACTGAGGAATGTCACTTTCTTAGCTACCTGTGGCCTAATGAAGGAGATCTTGGATATTTCCAAGTTTTCGCTGGTCTTGGAGAAAGGCGATATACAATGCAGTGAAGTCATGCCGTCAGTCGAGAAAACCAAGTCCAGAAATGACGACATCATCGACAATGATAACTACCTAGACGTCTCTTATGAGATAAAGCTCAATTCAGAGCAAAAGGAAATTAACTGCCAATTGCCAAGAAAGGGACATATGAGAAAGAAAGTTATAAATAGAGAGTTCAAGAATCTGGTTTGTCAAAAAATGACAAATTTTGATGGTGCTGCTGCCAAAGTCAAAGCTCTAGGATCAGCTGTAATACCTCAGATCAATGCCTGTTTAGATGATCGCTTTAGATCCTTCTCATCGTTTATATTTTCAGTAATATCGGATGGATAGATCCAGCCAACTGGTACGACACAGAAACCGAGGTGAAGTTTTTGGCCGCACACTTTGAAGTGCCTCTTCAATCTGCAGGATTTGATCAATCCAGACTCAGAACAGAATGGAAAGATTTGAAGAGAACGGTGACCTTTTTTTATAAAGGTGTTATGGGAAAACAACTCTGGCAGAAGATTTTTGAATATCGTAGGAAGGAATTTCCTAACATCTGTCTACTGGCAGAGATTGTTCTGTGTCTGGGGGTGAGCAACAGCACAGTTGAGAAGGGCTTCAGCCAGCTCACAGCAATGCTGTCAGACAGACGTTTGTGTCTCAGACCAGACACAATGGAAGACCTACTTTTGGTTAAAATCAACGATTTGTCCTGGACACCAGTTGAAAAGGATGAGATTATTGACAGAGCGACAGCTCAGTACATGGAAAATCGAAGAAAGTTGACAATTGACACAACACCCTTCAACCTGCTTAGTGCTTCCAGGAAAAGAAAGCGTGAAGATTCAGCTGACAGCGACACTGGTGCCTTACGTGATCCTGCTGAAAATATCACATCCTCCGATTCAGAATCCGATGATGAATATGACTGTATTCAATTGCTACAGCAGATCGAGGCTGGTAATTAAAAAAAAAAATTAAAAAGCCTGATTAAGGTTTTTAGTGAAGTTTTATTGCAAAACATGTATGTTTTCTTGACATGAAACTAAAATACTTCAAATTGACAAAAATGCAAACAAGTGATTGAATGATTATGATGTTGCAAATACTATTAAAGTTTTAATAGTCTGCTTTGAAAAATTGAGTGTTGTTCCTTTTTGACTAAACATGCTAAATGTGTGATTCAAGTTATCCACATGTTCAAGAACTGATATTTTGTTAGATGAAAAAAAATCACCTAAAAAACGACAAAATTAAGAGTACAAATGCAGAGCTAATTTTTATCCCAAAATGCTGGAAATGGCAGTTCAAGTCTAGATTTCAAATTTTTTCCAGGGGGGCATGCCCCCGAACTCCCCTAGTTTGCTTCGTGCCCTGCGGGCACTCGCATGCAAATCACACACCTCGGCAAGCCGAGGTGTGTGATTTTCACTCGCCTGCCTTTTCTAAAACACAAGGACTGTAACTATGATTAGTGGATTTAATCATGCTCCCGAGTAGAATTAAATATTGTGATTAACTTAATCATGATTCAAGTTAATTACGCTTCGTGAAACAGTGACTTCAATTTAAGTACGGGAAGTTAATCATGATTAGTGATTTAATCATGATTAGGAAATCTAGGAATCTAACCACGCTTCGTGAAACCGGCCCCAGAATGATTACAGTGGTATATATGTCTTAGGACATCTAATATATATTTGAGTTCGTATGTATGTATCTTCCCTATAGGCAGCCAAACCGCCCAAGCGATCTGGGTGCAATTTTCACAGGGCCATCTCTTATACCCGGGGAGTGTTCCTAGATGAAAAAAACCTGTCAAACCATCAAACTCACCGAAAAATCCGTGAAAAACCCGTCAATTCGTGAAACTTCACACAATGTCAGCACTCACTGTACAGTGCTGCCACACAGAGAAAAATCGATTCCCTCACCTCATCTGGCTGCTGGTATTGTGAAACCGAAACCACTAATAAAACACACCACAACCAGCACCAGTTTCACCAGTTCAGAGGTACTACTCACTCAGCTCAGAGGTTCAGTTCATATGCTACGATCTCACAATGCATTGTACCATTCGAAAGCTATGCAGTTTCTGATTCAGTAGGGAAATTTCTTCATTTCAATGTGCATGGTTGCGTGTCTCTATCTATACTATGAGCAGCTAATGACAATTTTTTCATTATTACCTCCTGATACTATATTCCTTTTATTCATGCTACGATCTCACAATGGATAGCTGTACGTGGGAGCTCAAGAGTTGGAGACGCCAGGAATCTCTACATATTTGCACCAGAGAATAAGACGAAAAACATTCTTTATCAAAAGGCTTTCAATTGAAAAGTCCAACCCATTCGTACATGCTGTTATAATAACTTTTTGTTATTTACACCATATTACTATTATGTCCCAGTGGTTCTAAGTTCGGTTGTGCTGTCATATAAATATCATACGTAACAGTTTTTCCGTTTTTCCCATGCTTATAAATATTATCTTATTACACTCATTTCTAAATATTAATATTGTCTGCAATGTTATTGTCGATTTTTACCCAATGTTCCTATTCTGTCCCATTATTAGTACTATGAATTAGTAGCACCGCGTTAGTAGCGTAGTTTAGTTTTACCCAGTGCAGCGGGTACCCGCAGCTAGTATATACATATACATGTGGAGGGAACATGACATCTTACTCCTACTCCCATTCCATTTTGAAATCAGTCTTTTCTCTTTGTAGGAAAAATGTCAAACACCCGAGAGCTGTTCATGAAGTGGTAACGAAGGCTGAGTATGATTATGATGAGACCTTTCCAGCCTTAGGCCTACCTACGAGCACTGAGAAGAGGAAGGACCTTGCCAGTGACAGGCCACTCTATTCAACGATGTGCTTCAAGAAACCGGCATGTTTATCAGGTATTAAAGCAATACATTATGCATGATGTCTCTATGGATATGACTCCAACGGAACTTCTTAACAGAACTTTTCAGGGTTACAGTCATCCTTACCTGTAGTACAGTAGGGTCCCTCTATTGCGTAACATTGATGTTTGGGCCAAATAATGAATCCGTGTTTTATAGACCATTTGCTTAACCTCACAGCTAAATGCATATATATACCTACTGTGAGTTCGTCTATGTTGCAAAAATTCACTAGAACTCATTTGTATTGCTACTTTCATAACATTTCTTCTCAAAATATAAACGAAATTACTTCTCTTACGAAAGTAGCACCACAGTGATGTTTACACATCCAAGACACAGCAGAGCGATCGTTAACAATTCTTTTCTATAATAAAACATATTATAATTCATTATTACATGCTTACTTTATTCAGTACAAAATGTGAAATTTGTTTAAATCATATATCGTTATCTACATTACAAATGCAATCAGGAAACAAATATAGTTTTCTGTCCAGGAACTATTTGCGCTATGACGTACTGATACTTTTTTGCGTTATCTGGCACTTCGTACAAATAACTTGCGTCTGACGTAAGTTTTCAAAATAGTCAACGTCGGCGCACATTTCTGGCTCAATGAGAATATTTCGTGATGTTTGCACACTGCATGTATGCTCACAGTAGGTCTATATAGGTATTTTGTTGCAGGTCGAGGTCTATCAATTTTAAAATGCATCACTTTCTGAGTTTTTGTGTAGACACAGGCTTATGCATTCTATTGCCATCCGCCATCCGTCCGTTCGTAGACGGAATTCAATTTAAGTGCAAAATATTCGACATGCTTTGAGCTATTATCCTGATCTTTAGTATGTACTGGTACATGTATCTACCCAAGAAACACAGCCCTCGACACTAATGGTTGTCCATGATTGTTATGATAATTATTATTCATGTGTAAGTCGCACCTCCTATTTTGCCTTGAAAAGTTGGTACAAACATTGGTACAACAAGATTTCTTAGCCCCGTCTAGAAGTTGCACCCCCTGATTTTTTTTATTCAAGTTGTGTAAAAAAAAGTGTGGTTTATACACGAGTAAATACGGTATATACTGTAATATTAGAAGTGTATAATATAGATATATATCTACATCTATCTATATATGTTATATATGTATATATATTTATATATCTATTTATATAATATAGATTTCTATATTATACACTCCTGGTAATATGATATGCACTGAACCAAAGAGGACCTTAATGGCTCATAGATAGCATGTAAATTTTGGACAAGTAAAAATTGCTTCTTGTGGCCCAACAGGACAACCAGATATGAAAATAAGCGTTGAGGCCAGACACATCAGCTCACCAAGATTTGGGTTGATCAGATAGTCCTTAACCGACAATACTATTAATCAGAAATTTGATATGGACATACTATAGCAAGGGTTGTCGAACATATCAGACGTTTTTTTGTCAGTTGCTGATCTTTAAGTGTATTTTATTTTTCAGATATGCTGTTCTGAAGAACATGAAGCCAAAGAACATTGGGATTCCGCTTGGCGATGATCACAAAACAATGAGATCAGTAGTCACAGTTAGGAGAGCACAAGCTAGCAAGTGCTGGTGTGGACGTTTTAAGTATGTGAGCGATGATATGATGCTGGATCACATGATTAAATGTCATGTGCCAACAGAAAGGTAAACATTCTTACAGTAGACTCCTGCTAAGTCGGATCCTCTTAAGCCAGATAATAACTTAAGTCAGACAGAAATTTTTGTCCAATTGTAGTCGCATCTTTATCGAATTGCCTTGTCTACGTCAGATTATTGCCCAAGTCAGACAGAAAGTGCTGGTCCCAATTAGGACAGCTCATATCAGCAGTTTATTGTTAATACATGTAATTTTCACAAACATTTTTTTAGCCCATTTGGGACGTAGCGGTAGCCCAGCAGGCTATTGTATTCACTTGGCATCTGTCCATCCATCTGTAAACAAGAATCAGACTTAATGGGAAATTTTCGACACACATTGATCAATCGTCTTGATTTTTCCGTTTTGATAGTTTCAGTGAAAGTAGTCCACATACAATAGACAGCATAGTATTATTATACTGTCTATTGTGTGTGGACTACTCTCATTGACATTTCTGACTGACACTATAAACCACTAATTACAACGTCAATCTGTCCGTGAGTGGAACCAGAAAGCAATGGAGTGCGTGATCCATCTCACTCACACATCCCTGGTCCGACCTTTCGTAATCGGGTTCTTCTGGCATTGACCTTGGCTTAAACCCTTGCCCTTTTCGCTAGACCGCTAAGTGGAGCCGGGTCCACGTGGAGCACTGTATTGCCCAGCAATACTGATCACTTGTTTATTTTATAGGTCCAGCATTGTTAGATGCGTTGGTGGGGCAGGCGCTGTGTCAGTAAAAAAAGAAGAGGCCGCGAAGGAGACATCAATCCTAGTAAGCAGTGATGATGATGAGGAGATCGGAGATGATGTGAATTCTGTGTGTCATCCCCTCAACTATAGGACATCATTGCCCCTGGGTGATTATGAGCACTTGCAACTACCTCAAACCAGAAAATCTATGCAAGTGTGTTTGGTAGCAGAGACACAAACGTGTGATTCTGCAGAGAATTCTTCATTTATGCCAGATATCGCACAGCTGAATTTAATAAAGCATAAATTGAGGGAGGATTCAGCAAAGACCCAAGTCATTTTGGATTATGGGATCTTTGATGAGACTGAAGTAAATGTATTTTTCGAGCTCCATAAAGCTAAGGAAGTTAAATCAAAGATAACTAAGTTTAGAATATGGTTTGATGATAAGTTGTTTAATAAAACACAGTGTGAAAAGCCAAAAGGGACTAAACCAAGAATTATTACTGGAATTTAAGAAATTGCTGTTTTCAAAATCCATGGGAGACAGCGTGGAGTTCCATAATGTTAAACTTCCTGTTGATGAGATTACGACTGTGTTACTTGATCAGTGGTTTGATTCAACTATACTCTATGCATTTTCTAAAATAGTGAACAAGCAGGTTTCTGATGCATATGTTAAGCCAATGTTGGTTTCATTTGACCCTACTGCTTTTGTAGACAAGCTTAAAAAACGTTACGGCTGCAATCCATTTTTAGAGTGTAAAAGTTTGATTTTCTTGTTGCATGTTAGCCCAGCGGCATAGTAAAAAATACGAAACCAATTGTTCAAATTGTTCTAAAAGCACCAAAATTGGCACACATGTAGATTAATACATTCTGAACAATTTTGGATATGGAGGCATTCAAGATTCTCCCCGTAGCACATTTGGCGGCCATTTTTTGAAAATGGCCGCTATTTACCATTAGCGTCATTGAATATGTACCATAATTTGTCTTTTTGTGGATGCTAGAGGTGATAAGTGTGCTAGAGGTGATAAGTAGTGTACAATTACACATACTTGTGTGCTTACCAAATAAAATGGCTACCATTTTACAAGAAAAATGAATTTTACTTTGCAGCGGCAGCGGTGGTGGCAGTGACGGCGGCTGCAGTAATAGTATAGTGTTGATAGTCATGGTACTTGTAGTAGTAGCTTGTGGTAACATGGTGGTGTTTTGTGTCTTTGCAGGTGAGGCTTTGATAACCATTCAACTGGTGGTGGATTACAGCAGCAGCAGCAGCACCACCTGACATCAGAGACGCGTTGTTCCAGACTGCAGCCATGGCAAAGAAGTTCCAACTGGTCGATACTTTTGAGCAACGTACTCCCACAACACCTCCTGAGACAAACTGGAAGCTGTGTCTTGTATGTCAAGAGGAGACAACAGAGTCACTTGTGTGCCCAGTACTGTCTAAACGCCGAGACCCTGGGAGTGGATACACGACAATGGCTGCAAACTTGGTCAAGTTTGATGAACTAGGAAAACTGCCAAGAACTGTTCAGTTACAGAGACTAGATGAAGGACAAGGTGTTGAGGCGACAATGGTTGCCCACCAGGCCAAGTGGCATAAAACATGTATGCTCCAATACAATAACACAATGCTACGAAGAGCAGAGAAGAGACTCATCGCAAGCAGCTCAGCATTTGGTAGTACTGACAATGTCCCAGGCAAGCGCGCCAGAACACACTCTTCAGAAGCCACTACCAGCGGCACCTCCTGCTTTTTCTGTGGAAAGTCTGGCACAGAGACCCTACATGAAGTAGCAACCTTCCAGGTGGACACACGCGTACGGAAGTGTGCAGCGCAAGTTGGGGACAATGAACTCATGGCCAGGCTCAGCATGGGTGATATGGTGGCTCTGGAGGCCAAGTACCATTCCAAGTGTTTGTTGGCTCTTTACTATCGTGCAAAGACCACTGTAGAAGCCGAGCAGAAAACTGACCATGAAGGTGTGATGTCAAGAATCGTACTGGCTGAACTGGTCCTGTATATCGAGGAAAACCACCTAGAAGAGGGCACCGCCCCAGTCTTCAGACTCGCAGATCTTGCAAAGCTATACACGACAAGAATGGAACAGCTCGGGGTTGCTTTGTGCAAGAAAGTTAATAGCACAAGGCTGAAAGAGCGCCTGTTAGCCCAGTTACCAGGCCTGAGATCCCAGAGCAAAGGCCGAGATGTTCTACTAGCGTTTGATGAAGACATTGGTGAAGCGCTAGGCAAAGCCTGCGAGCAAGACTGTGACACTGAGGCAGTTCACCTTGCGCGTGCTGCACAGATAGTTCGGCGATATATGTTTGAAGACACTGACCGATTCCGTGGATCATTCCCGGGCGGTTGTCAGGAGGACTCTGTGCCAAACGTACTAGTTGCAATGGTAAATATGGTGCTGGATGGCCCCAGCATCAAGAACCAAAGCCATTCCTCTTCGAGACAAGCAGCTCTTTCCATTGCGCAGCTTCTCAAGTTCAACAGTGTCAAGCAAAGTCGGAAGCAGGGAGCAACCAAGACACAGGAGCCTCCAGCTGTCAGACACAGTACGTCTCAAGAAACTCCTCTTCCAACCTATGTTGGGCTGATGCTGCATGCTGAAACACGCAAGAGAGGACTTGTGGACAAGCTCTTCTCTCTGGGCCTAAGCATCTCATATGACAGAGTCCTGCGTCTTTCTGCCCAGATGGGAAACAGCGTGTGTCAGCTGTACCGCATAGAGCAAGTGGTCTGCCCGCCTACCCTGCGTAGCAATGTGTTCACAACTGCGGCTGTGGACAACATTGACCACAACCCAAGTGCCACCACAGCCAAGAATTCATTCCATGGAACAGGAATCTCGCTTTTGCAACACCCAACGTGTGCAGATGAGGGAGTGGATCGTAGCATTGCTCTCACTGGGCGTGATACTGGATCAAAGACGGTTGAGCCTCTACCAGAATATTACACGGATGTACGTCCTGTTGCTTCCTCTGTCAAAGGGCAAACGATCCCAGCTACTTCTGTGACCTCTCTTAGACGCCACAACTTTGAGCAGCACATAGAAGATGAGTATATGTGGCTGGAGAACACGAGAAGTGTTCTCAAAGATGATGTTGAGGCCTGTGAAAACACATCATGGGCTGCATACCATGCAAGGCACCAAGATCCAAAGCAACCAGTCATCACACCAACGTCCCTGCTTCCCTTGTTCCAGGAGAGTGCTCACACTGTGGCAATGATCAGACACTCTATTGATGTAGTCAGGAATGCAGTTCAACATCTCAACCCAGGCCAAACTCCAGTTCTGACTTGCGACCAGCCACTATTCACTCTAGCAAAACAGATCCAGTGGAAGTGGCCAGACACATATGGAGAAGACCAACTGGTGGTGATGTTCGGGGGGTTGCATATTGAGATGACGGCACTGAAGACCCTGGGTGACTGGTTGCAGGGAAGTGGGTGGACCCAAGCACTGGTACAAGCAGAGATCACAACTGCAGGAACAGCAGACTCATTTCTTCGAGCAGCTCACGTCACACGCACCAGAAGAGCACACCAAGTCACAGCGGCTGCCTTATACATACTCCAACGGCGTGCCTATGACCAGTACAGCACCACCAATACAGAAGATGATGCGCACCCTGGAAGCTTCGAAGACTGGTGCAGTCAGAGAGAACAGAGTTATCCGCAGTTTCAGTACTGGTCAACAGTCTTGGCACTGGAGCTGTCCACTCTGATCTATGTGCGATCTCTGAGAGAAGCCAATTTTAGCATGTACGTGGATGCTCTGACAGAACTGGTTCCGTGGTTCTTCGCACTAGACCACACGAACTATGCCCGCTGGATACCAGTGCATCTGCGGGACATGGCAGAACTGGCAAACAAACATCCAGACGTCTTCACAGAGTTTAGCAACGGACACTTCACAGTCCAGAAGACCAAGAGGATCTTTTCAGCAATCCCTATTGACCAAGGACATGAGCAGAACAACGCGTATGTCAAGGGTGATGGAGGAGCCATCGGCCTCACAGACAATCCAACTGCACTGAGGCGCTGGATGGTTGCCGGACCAGAGGTTGCTAGAGTGATTGTGGCATTTGAAGACTTCAATCTGCATCCACACGACCAAGAGGAGACACGTCACCACGAGGAGACACCAAGTGTGCAGAACACTTTTGCCAGAGATGTGCGCTCACTCGTGGCCATCTTTGAAGAGCTGGGCAACCCTTTCGAGGAGGACAGTCAGGACTTGCTGGTGCTCGACACAAAGGAGATCGCAGACACTGCAGTCATAGAAACAGTCCGTAACGCCAAGCAGATTGGCCAAGACCAGTTTGAAGCATTCTCAAAGGAATGCATCGTGGACAGAACCAAGTCCATTGAGGTGGCAATCCACCGGAACAAGCTACCACTGTTTGCGACCAAGAGAGGACCCAAAATACCCAAAGGAAAACAACAGGTCAAATCTCTGAAGAATGATGTTGCGCTCTTCGCACGATTATATATCAGCTGCCAGACCCGTGATGGGAATCTAGAAGAGTTCTTCAGGCATGAAAATCAGCAATGCCCTCCAGCTTTATCTGACGGAGGGAGACTGTACCTAGGGAGCAAGAGTGACTTGCTGGTGTGCCTTGAAGGCCATGCTGAGCCTCAGTCTGAAGCGCCTACTGTCACTGCTGTTGTCCTCGATGGAGCAGTAATCGTACAGATGTTGAAGCCGGGTACTGCCAACACGTTCGAGGAATATGCACAGCAAGTGTTCATCCCATACGTTGTACAACAGCTCCAACATGTATCACGTCTTGACCTTGTGTGGGACAGCTACAGAGCAGATTCCCTGAAGGCATCAACCAGAGAACAGCGTGGAAAGGGAGTACGTCGGCGTGTTGTCGACTCGGCAGTCATACCAGGAAATTGGCAAAGTTTCCTGCGAGTTGATATCAACAAAGTGGAGCTCTTCAGCTACCTCTCCACCATGCTTGCAGAGTCCTTTCAAGAAGAAGGCAAGGAACTGGTGGTCACTGATGGGGAGCAGGTGATCTGTGTTCCACAGCAAGAGGACGTCAACTCACTCGCACCATGCAACCAAGAAGAGGCAGACACTCGCATGATGCTACATGTAGCACATGCTGCACAACATGGTCACCACCAGATACAGGTTCGAACAGTAGACACTGACGTCGTGGTCCTAGCAGTGATGGTAGTCCAGAAACTACCAGCTGGAGACGAACTCTGGGTAGCCTTTGGGACAGGCAAGAACTACCGCTACATTGCAGCCCATGAAATAGCTTCCTCCCTTGGTCCAGAGAAGACATGTGCTCTTCCAATGTTTCATGCCATCACAGGGTGTGATACTGTGTCAGCCTTCGTCGGACATGGGAAGAAATCTGCCTGGGCAACATGGAACACGCTGCCAGAACTCACTGATGCCCTGCTGAGTCTGGCAAATGCACCCACAAGCATCCAAGAGGATACAATGCATGTCATCGAGAGGTTTGTAATACTCCTGTATGACCGCACAAGCAAATGCAAGGACGTCAACAAGGCGAGAAAGAAGCTCTTTGCAAAGAAGAGCTCTGTTCAGAACATCCCGCCAACTTACGCTGCTCTGGAGCAGCATGTGAAGAGATCTGCCCTTCAGGGTGGTCATGTCTGGGGCCAGGCATTGGTACCAGAGCCCGTGCTCCCTCCACCAACAGACTGGGGCTGGCATCGGAGTGATGATGGGCCCTACACACCACTCTGGACCACACTCCCTGAGGCATCCAAGACCTGCTATGAGCTGGTGTCTTGCGGATGCAAGAAAGGCTGCAGAAACCGCTGCAAGTGCAAGAAGGCTTCACTGCAATGCACGGGTCTGTGTTTCTGTGAAGGCGAATGCCAGTAGATTAGGACAGAAAACTTGCTAGCCAACATTATGATCTGTAGACATTCATAATCCTGGTGACCAGATTTGAAAAGTTCAGAATCATAATTAACATAGTGTGGCAAAATCTACGTTATTGTATTACATGTATGTACTGCAGGATTACACAATACTGAAAGTTATTGTATTGGCAACTGTTTATTGTGTCCTCTTCTTGAAGCCACTTAGATTTGTTCATTTATATTAGATCTATCCATAAATGTATAACTGTAAGTACTGTGCCTAGAGACTGGGCTTTTGGTCGACTATATAACTACAATCTGACCATACTGTAAACTCCCCGTACTCTGTGTATTATTTTGACTACCATTCCATTGCAATTTTGCCAGCAATTTGAAATAAAAAAGCAACTTGAGCAATTAAAGTGTGTTCCTGAAATCATGTACTGGTTATTAGAGGTATTATGTCATTGAGTATTGGAATCTTCATCAAATGTCCACTTTTTCCACAAAATGGCGGCCAGTTTGGGGGCCATTTTTGAGAAGATTCATCTAAATATATGTTAAACACTTATTGATGTTAATTCTGATGTAAAAAAAAGGAATTTTGGCCCATCTAGCACCATACTAACGACACATAATGAAGTCTATGTAATGACGCTAATGGTAAATGGCGGCCATTTTGAACAATGGCCGCCATATCTTCCACAGGGCTAATCTTGAATGCCTCCATATCCAAAAATGTTTAGAATATATTAATCTACATGTGTGCCAATTTTGGTGCTTTTAGAACAATTTGAACAATTGGTCTGCTATGCCGCAGGACTATGTTGGTAATCATGAAAATGAAACATTTCTTAATATTCTAAACATAGTAAGTCATGGCAATGTAGAGGTCCATCATGGTAACCACTTTTCATTTATTGTATATTCACCGGAGAAAAATCTGTTGACATATGCTGATGCAAATTGTTGGAAGTGTCTAATGTCAGAAATTGAAAACATTCAAAATGTTTTAAACTAGTTAAACGTAACAAGACCTGCATTAGTTTATTGTCATAATCCGCTGAGAAATGATGTAAATGGTCATCACCATTGCAGTCATAATTGTTCATCGTCTTATCCATTGCAGACATGTGCTTCAGTTTGTGGTCCTGCAACTGTTATTGGTTCTTGTCTGGCTGCTATGGATAGAACAAAGTTTGAACTACTTTGTTCCTCGTGTTGCCCAGAACTGTCTTACTTGAGAAGTATAAGCAACTATTTAAGTTTTTTAAGGTCGGTTATTTTAAACTGGCTGTTGCTGGGTAATATTGATTTGAAAGTCAAACATGTGCCTCTGTTTTGGTGAATTCAGGAAAAACAAACTCAGCTTCCAAATGTCATATGCCAGATGTCCATGCTATAAATAAGAAGAAACGTAATGCCAGAAACGCTATTGTAAATTTAATTAATGGCGACAGTGAAGATGATTTTGATAAACCAGAGACAAAAATCAAGACGAAAAAGAATGCTATTCCAAACCTTCCTTCCAGTGGTGAGAAAAAGAGCAGTGGTATCATTTTACCTCAATACATTGAAAATCGGCTTGCTTATAAGCCAAAATTGAGGTACAGAAATAAAGGAATTACACTTTATCTGGAAGTAAAATTTAGTGAGATAAAATTCCAGAAGAAATTTAAATGTTCAGCGTTAGGCCTTCAAGACCAGGAAGCTATTACCTCTGTAAATGCCTTTTTGTCCAGCGAAAAATACAGCAGAAAACACTGTGCTCCAGTTGAGGTGTCAAGAGCATGAAGACAGGTTTAATCAAGCATTGGCTGATCTAACTTTTCGTAAACCAGTTATTTCTTATAGAAAAAAACAGAAAAGCTATTCGAGTAGAGTTCACTCTAAAGAATCTAAAGATAATAAGTAAATTCTTTTCATGTGCGGATGAAGGCAAATCTGACAAGCAAGCTATGCAAGAAGTTGGCTTATTCTTAGCCAACAAGGCAGTATCTTGGATTCAGGCAGAGGTTAGCGAGTGGAAATTCAGCCAAGAACTAAATGTTGGCCTGAAAACAAAATTTTTATTTGACAAGTTTATTTTTGACTTCAGCCGACATTACTATGTTGATAAGAATATTCAGGCATTTTATTACCCTTATTCTGGTGGGCTAAAGGTTGCTGTGACTGAAACTAGTGGATGGGGAAAAACGTACAGACTTGATGAAGTGTATAGTTTCATTGAAAAGCCTGAAGGAAAAAAGAAAAAGCCCAAAGTTACCGGTTGTTTCTTTGTTGATTGAATGTTCCTCAAAGTCCAATGAGTGTAGAAGCACGTGCTTATCATTGTTGAAAGAAATGCAGTTGGAAACTGACACTAATACCTGTCCGGCATGCAAAACCATCTTCCACCTTGATAATAAAGACTGTGATCATTGTGGCATTGATTTCAGTCGAAAGTGGTACAAAGGGGTGAATGAGACTGCTCTCTGTCATGCATGTTATATGTACCAACTGAAATTCAAGCATAACCGTCCTGCTGTTCTTATTAGCGAAAAACAAAAAAAGCTGTATTTGATAAGCACATAAGCTGTGGCTGGCAAATGAAACTTGTTTTGTACAAAGATGACAATGGAAAATATCATGAAAATGTTCCAACTCAGAATATTAAAAAGCCGAATTTGTCTGTTAGAGATTGTTGGGACAAACAGTCTTGCATTAAATGATTCTGCAAAAAAGATATTTTCAGCTACAACTAATTCCGCAAAATTGTTGATTGCAGATACTGAAACAGAAAATCCTCATCGATACACTTTGAAACAAGTGAGCAACAGAGTAAAGTATGTTGACAAACATTTTCTCAAAACATCTATGAAAATGCTTGATTAATGGGTCTGATTGGCGTGATACAGAGAAACTCCTCGAGTCCAACTTTGAATCAGTTCTTCTCTTTCAACGTGGAAATCAACTGGAGGGCAGGAACTATCATTTTGTCATTGCCAAGAAACAGTCCTTACAATATGTTAGAAAATATGGCAAACATGTTCTAGGGTTTGATGTTAAGCATGACTTTAATGCTGTACGGTTCAAAACTGCCTTCGTGACATTCTGTGATGCTGCAAATAGAGGGCGTGTTGCAGCAGCATCTGTTTCAAATTCAGACGAGCAAAGTGTTCATGCTACCACTCTGCAAATACTACTATCCAATGTGCCATGCAGTAATTCGAGCTGTGAACACCCAAGTAAGCTATTTATTTATAATGATGGGAATGGATTCTTTCGTGTACGACCATGTGCTTTTGATGATCCGATATCACCGTTGATTCAGCATGATAAAGACAATGCTCTGCGAAATGGAGCCAATGACAACAATTTGGGGTCAACTCTTTGTAACTTTCATGGTTTACAAGCACTGCGACGGCATTTGCATGAAGATGCTTCAACGCGATTATTAATGAGACCTTTGGAAACTGGTTTTAAATGCGTAATGCGTTGCTGGGATGAAGCATCACGAAAATGTGTTGCAAATAACTTCATCAAATTTATTCAGCATACAATTCCATCTGAAATTTTACAGGAGGACAAAAAGAACAGTCTTGTCAATTATTTAAGTGTTAACTGGTTTTCACCGCCTTGGGCTGAAACAATGACTGCAGAGCGATTATATCAAGTTGACTTAGCAGAGCAAACAAATCCTCTTCTATTGACTGACAATGTTACTGAAAGAAAGTTCAAGGATGTAGATCAAACCTACTTCAGTGGTCAGATGAATCGTTTGATATCTTCCTTTGTATTGCGCTTATTAAGCAGCATTATTGGTGATGATCTAATTGAAACAGGGCAGAATTCAGCAACATGTGAATCTTTGAAATTTCGAAAAAGAAATATTAACCGCAAAACCAAAGAAACAAATGCATGTGTCAGAGCATTACATAATGTCATCCAAAAAGGGCTGGTGGTTGCTTACGATGAGACGAGTGGTTGGGCTGTAATTAGAAGTGATGCAAGTGCAGCAACAAAACAAAAAACTGATGAGCTTCCCGATAAATTTTTTACTGGAACGGATAGTAATGAAGATCCACTTAGATACCTTGAGGAACGGTTCCCTCCAACAGAGTCATTGTCTAAAGCTAGCGAGATCTTTTGTACTTCACAAAATGTTGGATTAGACCACAGTTATGATGTTGTTTCAAAATGTAAGAAATTTATTTCTTCCCTTGACACGTCAGCAACACAATTTTACCGTGATTATGTCATTGGACTTCTGCCAGAAGAATTGCATGAAAAAATAACAGGAAATGTACATGTAGTGAATATAGAGCATGGAATTTGTACTTGCAGTAGTTTCATTGTTATGGGTCAGCCGAAGTTTTGCAAACATTTGTATGCTATTCTGGCTTTGAGAGAAAATATCAAGAATCCTGAAGACTTGCTGACCACATTTACTGGATCATACCGTTCAAAACCTTTCCCTGGTTATGCGAGGAACGTTTTGCAATTCCCAACCAAGACATGGCACATCATAGATTCATTAAAAGTTATGTCACATGAATCATCTCTGCCAGAAATGGAACGTGCAAAAAGCGGGTCTATTTTGCAAGTTTTACATGATAGCGTTCTAAAAATAAAACGTGTATCTGGAAAGTTAGCTAGACGTTACCCACACAATATGGGGTATCGCCGTATAGAAGGTCCCATACCTGAACGAAAATATTCTCTCGCTGACCAAGATCATGGCCCAGATCAAGAAGTCCCTGATCCATACAGACCATTTGTGGTGTTCCCAGAAAGAGCCAAAGAACAGCATGGTGGCAAAAGGTCGATTAGAGTTGCAAATAGAGGAATTAGTTTTTGTAATACGGTGAATGATGCGCTGCAGACATTGGGCAAAAAAGCACTTACAGATCCAGTACTGTCACAGAAGATGGATAATCCGATTTGCTCAGAAGACGTGCTATTAAATGATATTAGTGCATGACGTGATAAATCGCTGCAATCTCATTGGATAACGCAGCAGGCACTATGAAGCGATAGTGCCCGCCTGAGCAGGCACTATCGCTTGCGCGACGCATTGTTATTATAACGCATTGTGTTTACGTCACGAATCTCCTGCGTCTGGGCGCCAAGCAAGAGTAATTTCGAACGGCGGTTGTGTTTGTGTCGAACGTTTTGTTACATCGAATGCACCGGCAAATTAGGGAGTATAAAGGTATATACGCATGAAAAGTAGATTGCATAGTCATGTGATGCACTAAAACATTAATGCTGCTGTTGGGGGCACTATGCTCTCATAGTGTTGCTTTGGGAAGGAATAGTGCCTCGCTGCCGCTCGGGCACTATTCCTTCCCTCAGCAACACTATGAGAGCATAGTGCCCCCAACAGCAGGCATTAATATATAAATATTGACCCAGAAATTCCCGAACCAGTATTTGAAGAGGAGGAACAATCGCACTCAAAAAGGCCGCCATCTTCACAATTAGATGATGCTGATTCTACCCCTTTGAAACTGAAACCATACATGTGTGGTTTATGTGTGAACAGTAATGAGAGTACACCCTACATTTGCAGTTCAAGGACTCAACTCTTCACCCACATAATGAAAAAACATCAAACTGCACTAATATACTGCTCTATTTGTTGGGGTAGTGGAGTCACGACTGCTTATTTTGAAAATGATGTGCTATTAGAGAGACATGTTCAAAGGTTTCACAAGTGTCCATCAAAACAAAAAGGATTGAAGCGAAACTTCAGCAAAATTTCATCTGGGGCTAGAGCTACGTTGTCACAACAAGATAACCCTAACAAGAAAATAAAACTACACAGTAATGCCCATTCTGACACTGAAATTGAAAAGCCTGAGCAGAAAGACAATCCAGAGACACAGAATCTTGCAAAGCTGAGGTCAAAGAAAAAGCAATTCTTAGGCAAGATTTTATCTGATATCAAAACTAAGTTATGGCAACAAGATGATGCTAAAAAGAATATAAAACTAGTTAATGATGCCGATTCTTATACTAAACTTAAAAAGCTTATAGAAAAGAAGGGCAACCCAGGAACGCAGAATCTTGCAAAGCTGAAATCAAAGAAAAAACAAGTCTTAGGCAAGATTTCATCTGATATTAAAACTAAGTTATGCCAACAAGATGATGCTGAAAAGAGCATAAAACTAGTAAATGATGCTGATCCTGACACTGAACATGAAAACAACATACTAAATTCAACATGCCCCTTGTGCAAAAATATATGTAGTCAGAATCCTAAAAAGCTTGCCTCTATTGGTTGTGATAAATGTTTTAAATGGTTTCATTGGCGTTGTGTTGCTAGCATCATGACTCATTGAAACATCAAAAACGAGGACAATCGCCATGTGTATTCCAAAACGTGTTATTTCGAAATAGGGTTTATAATATAAGTTCGTAAATTGCACCTGTGGGTAAAGAAATGCGAGAAGTTTTGCAATTCTGGACGGATAGCAGCTTTAAGCATATACAGCATAGGCCTAATGCGCATTGTTTTCAGCAAGCCGTTGTCCTGTCTCCCGCGGGCTCGCCGCCACTACCGGAAGCATTGCCGTCGGAAGGTTTGACTGTATCCCAGCAGTTATGTTACTGTATGAATACATGTACACACACGATCTACACACGTGAACCTAGTTTCTGTATCTAGGCATATGTATGAAGCGGCATATTAAATAAAATATTTGATATCATCTACTCTTTTATGTATATATATGTTCGCGTGTATAGATACGTTTGTGTTTGCATTGACAAGGCTTTGTGTGCGAGAGACGTTTGAATGCAGCCATGCTTGTTTACTGCATTGGCTTAAAATCTGTACAGTCTACTTTGTGGATACTGAATAACAATCACAATTTCATGCTGTTTTTATCTGCAGCAAGTTAAGAGCTGGCGATCAGCATACAGACGTGTTCAGCTGTGGGTCCATTAGGGTCCACAATTATAGGTCCTTTTTTCACTCCAGCGTCACAAGACAATTATGCATTCTATAATTAAAATTATAAGAAAAAAGTGATTCTATGTTATTTCGAAATAGGGTTTATAATATAAGTTCGTAAATATAATAATAATTTATTAAATATCGTAATATAAGTTCGTGTGGGTAAGGAAATGCGAGAAATTTTGCAATTCTGGACGGATAGCAGCTTTAAGCATATACAGCATAGGCCTCATGCGCATTGTTTTCAGCAAGCCGTTGTCCTGTCTGCGGCGGGTTCGCCGCCACTACCGGCAGCATTGCCGTCGCCGGCGCTCGGTGCTTGCGGATATTTTACTCGAATTCCGACTTGGACAATTTCGTGTGGTTCATTTTGCGGCCGGTAAATTATGAATATTATTTTTAGTATTATTTAGTAGCGTGTTGTTATTTTTGCGGTCGGGGACGCGTTCGCGAAATTCGCGTATACCGCGTATAACAGCACTCAGCATGTTTAAATATTTTACTTAATTTTTAAAAATTATTAAATTAAATTTTTTGCGTACGTTGAAATGTTCGCCGAGGGGCGGGAGGCAGTGGGGATGAAGCGGAAGGTATGGCTGGAAAGGGCGACCACCACCACATCCCAGCAGCCGACCACAGCGTTGTCACTGCCACCATCAGCGCCATCGTCGCCACCATGTGGACCATCGACAAGTGCCCTGCGTTCCTTGCTGGTGGGACGTCGACTGTCGACCCACCGGCTGGAGCACAGGATTGCGCAGCTCCAGGCTGCCAGCAAGACCGACGCGAGCACATCCTCGTCCTCAGCATCAGCTCGTCCGACTGATCTGACCGATGAGGAGTTGGTCGCTTACGTCGAGTCGATTGAAGCGCGCCGGAGTCCGCCGCAGCCGCAGGCGCAGCAGCAGCAGCAGCAGCAGCCCGATCAGCAGCAGCAGCAGCAGGATCAGCAGCCGCAGCCGCAGCAGCACTTGTTGGTGCCATTGATGGATGCACCAGCTCAGCGGAGAGGTAATGCATCATGTTATTGACAAAAACAAACTAATCTGTTGTTTGTTCGTTGCACACGAAGCGAAATGTTTTTAATGCGTGCATTCATAATTGTGTTTGCAGAATATCCTCTTCCTGAGGACTGCCATCAGATTCTGACGGAAGCGGATCGCAAATGGGTTTTCCGTGCTCTGTTTCGTTTCTCGGTCAGAACTGGGATGCCGTCAAGCTGACCTAGCTTTGGTTCCACCCGCCACAGCCGAACCCAACCTGCGACCGAGCACCCTGTCAAGACCGCTACTTCGCCAGCCATCTACTGTTGTGGATGCCTCGGAGGATCTGGAAGCTCCGGCTGCTCTGTCCTTGCCCGCACTGTGACGGGAAAGAGTTGACGGGCGCCGGCATCTACCCACGCCTCCGACAGGTTCTCGACAGGGACGACTATTACCATCTAGCCGCGGAGTACCTGGAGTGCAAGGCTTGCGGCGGGAGGCTGATATCGTGGTCCGGAGCCATAGTGAAGCAGCTTGACATCAGTCACCAACGCTAGTTCCCGGTGCTCTTGACATACCGGTAAATATCTCGTTGCTAAATTTTGTAATGTGAAACATTGATCGTCACTTAACTTGTGCATTGTCACTATACACGTTCGTATGAATAACCGCTGACTGCGTTGCATGATTCTAAACATATCAGAAACGCCTGCGACGTCCGCGTCATCGCCCTCTTGCGTCAGCACACACTTGGGAACAGCGCCACCGCGCTGCAGCACAGGTTGGAGGAGACGCACTGCGAAGCCTGGATGGAGAGATCTTGTCTCTACATGGCAGACTGCAAGGCATTCAAGGAAGCCCAGGAACGTCATCTCCTGTGCGGTTTGCCAGCCATCCAGAAGCCTCCAACCCCTCGACCCGTTCCCAAGTTCACTTGGCTGCTGAGGGCGTTTGGCTGTGACGTAATGCGGCGGATCGATGGCGTCAAGGTATCGATCACCTGCATCTACGGAGGTGATTATGCACAATTTATCGATTTGGGTATGTTATTGTAATTTGTGTCTTAGTATTGCTTAAAATGCGTAATTGCACTGAGTAATTATTGTGTATCTTCTACGTATTCAAAAGTGGTGCGGAAACTGGCCGGTCGCACGGCCGGAATTGGGTGCGTGAGTCACGAACGACGGCAACGAGTATGGCCAGGTGTTGAACAGCGTTCTGACCGCCGGAGAAGAATGCGAACTCGCACCCATGGTGAGTGGCATTGTCAAACGCTACTCCTCTGCAGGTGTTAAATCTGCAGCAGTCCTTTACGTGGACCGTGGTTGCTGCGACGGCAGCCTGACCGGCGGGATGTTCGCTGCCTGGCCAGACCTCATAGTTTGCCTTGATGTGTGGCACTTCATGTGCCGTTTGGCAGCCGGCTGCACGACGGAGGCACACCCGCTCTACGAAGTCTTCATGAGCCGGCTCTCTGCGTGCATCTGTGAGTGGAGTGGGGAGGACCTGCAGGCGTTGAAAGATGCCAAGCGGTCCGAACTGTTCGCTCAGCACGTGGAAAACCCGTCGGAAGAAGACGTCACCCGGCGACTCTCGACAAAGAAGCTTGCCCTTCACTGCCGGCGCAAGACCCGCGGCACCGCGGAGTCTACGCGGCTCATTGATGAGTTGCTGGATGCGTTCTCGGGCGACCAGGGACGTGACACCATCGGCACACCGCTTCTCGATGTGGAGCACATGGAGACGCTCTGGGAATCGCAGAAGCGACACGTGGCATGCCTACAGGACCCTGCAGATGTCCCTCTCTACACCCAGACTGGGACCCGTGCCAAGGGGACGGCCAGGTTGCCCGTGTACAGGTGTGCTCGAAGTTCGACGAGTCTCGAGTCCTTCCACCTTCACATTGCCAGGTTCATACCAGGTAATCATTATGTAATACAAGTGCATATATGCGTGTGGTTCTTGACGCAGCGACTCGTTTTACGATCTGCAACGGTAAATGTATAGCACGCGCTCAAAATAATAAGTGCATTCACGCGTTTGCAGTGTCTGTACACGGAGTGTCGTGTTGGCGTCTGTTTGTTCGCTTACAAGTCGATGTTGTTTCTGACTCTGTTTATTTCTTTGCAGGTACTAGTGCTAGTGACGTGCACTACCAGATGTACCTGCTGGAGGACCTGGCGAGATGGAACAAGGATCGAGCCAAATCCACCAAGAGCGAACGAGACTGCCCCAGCTACGACGACACCCTCAAGAGCGCGTTCAACGCGTGACGCCACGCTGGGCAAGACGCTGCTCCCTGGTTTCGTCGTCCCTGGTGCTTACACGGGTGGGTAACGTACCGACTTCATATTTGCTTAGAGCGCATTCCACTTCTTAAAACCACCACAGACTTTCAACACACATAGTACACTGCTGTGCACTGTACAATGCTGCATTTGCAGATTCATTTTTAACATTTTTATTTTTGTTTTTATTTTTTGATTTATTATGTCATTGTTATTTTTATATTCATTATTTCAGACAGCTACATACATGTAATGTCGTCACGATTGCATTCGTTATAGGAAAGCTCATTGGTGTCGAGTACCTCTACAGCCAGACTGGTGCGGCGCTTCAGGATCTCGCGTTGCTGGATCCTGATAGCAGGGAGGCCGCCCAGTGCGAGGCTGAGAACGACGACGACATCGATGACGCTGAGGCAGACAAAGGCTTTGAAGACGCGGGTTCAGCTGATGACCTGACTCTACCGCCAGTAGAGCCTAGCGTTCGTCTTCCGTCGAACCCCGCGACTCAGCCGGACACACAGCACCCCGTGACAGCTGCCTCGTCGTGCGACAGTGAGTGTGGTGACTGAAGAACCGGAGGGCTTCGAACCCGAAGTATGTTTTTGCTGGTCTTTCAATTGCTTTACTCTCTCGATGCATGCATGCTTGCTCATGCAGGGATCTGTATGTAATGAATTTGTGTTTTCCACAGGATTCGATCGAACCGGACAACATCGGCGGTTTCGGACGGGTGGATGCTCTGGCACAATACCTCTTCGAGTTGGGTGAGCAGATGTCAGTTGCACTGACGAACACCCAGGCGGACACCATCATCCGTCTGTGAGACGACCTGCTCCCCTACGACAAGAGTCCGTCCACCATTCTAGAACGCCACAAGCCCCGACTGCCGACTGGTCGGTTCAAGCGCTCTAAAGGAAACACGACAGTGCCCGGGGTCGACAGCACCAAGAGGTAATAAATTGATTGTACATTTCGTTACTGTGTAATAACTGTGTACTACATCGATTTCTAATACATCGTGGACGTATTGTATGCAAATGATTTCATCTAGCGTTTGTTACGCTATGTGTAATTGAGGATTATTGCAATTACGCATTTTGGATGTGCCATGAATATGACGACACTGTGACACCGCCATCTATTGTTATTAATTTCTAGTAATTTTTAAATGTTTGCTTCACCCAGAACCACCTCCCAAACGTGCTGATTCTGAAAAAATCTTTAGTTTTCTTCTAGTTATAGTCCATGGGCCAGACCAAATTTTGGTACCAAATTAATGGACAAAACATTACTACTGTCAATTGATACTACCCTTTGTGGTGTTTAAAAATTTGTATGATAACCGCCCTGAAACGGTAGCTTTAATAGGATTTTTTTCAATTGAAAAAATGAAGAAATGAAATTTTGCATGAAAACGAGGCTCGAAATAAATGTCGCGTAATGGGGTTCGAATGCGTTTTTATTCATAAAATAATAGCTAGAACAGATAAAGTGAGTAACTGTGATGTGTTTGGCATCGAAAAAATTACACTTTTCCTCAAAATAACAATAAAACTCAAGTAATTCTAGAAATATGCCTTTGCAATGCATTATGGGTAAAATCAAAGATGGCGTCTTCCATGGCAGGTGAGTAGAGTCTTCCCTGCTCTGATTTTTTGCTTTTTACGCCAATATGAGTAAACAAAATGGAAAAAGAAGCTAAGAAATGTAATAAGTAATGTTAAACGATGTAAAGTATGAAATAGTTTTAATGAAAAGAGGATACATTTTCAAGAAACTTACAGACATTCAGTTCGGTAAATTGGAATGCTTAGATACGCTTCATTTGTTTAGCTCGATTTTCAGAAGTACAAAGCTTATGTAAGAAAATGCTTGTTGTTAGTTGATTGATTTTTGCATTTTGGGGATTAAATAATGGTTTATTGTTAGATAAATGAAATTGAAATGGTGAAAAAGGTAATAACAACTCATTTTGTTTATTTTCAAACGTGATGAACCGTGTATAATACAAACTTAAAAAAATGGTTAATAAAGCAACGAATGTCAATTCAAGATTACAATACTCCCTTGTATCTTGAAGTGATGTTTACATAACATGTATACATTTGGAAAGTGTTACAACTTTAAAGTACAATGTGTATGTTAGAAATTACTATAGTGCCCTTATATAATTAGCCGTCTAATTG